CACACACACACACACACACACACACACAGTCTGACAAAGGAGGGGCCAGAGCGCTGGAGGGGAAGAAGAAGAGCGATGGACTGGAGGAGGAAGAAGAAGAAGAAGATCTCTCTCTCTCTCTCTCTCTCTCTCTCTCTCTCTCTCTCTCTCGCTCTCTCTCTCTCTCTGTGTCTGCTGAAGACCAGGTACTAACCTGCGAAAGGTGTCGCCTTGATGCAGGTACGGACACACGGACGACGAAGCTGGCGCGCTGGCGGCAACAGGTGAGTCCTCAGGTAAGCCTCCTGGCCTCCGCCATAGCCCAGTCCTCTCCCTCTCTCTGCTGTGATGTACCACAGATGCACTATGCTAGCGCTGAGGCCCTACCGCTGTGCTGCACTAACGCTGAAGTCCTACCGCTATCGTCGACTACTACTACTGAAGCACCGCCACGAAGTGCCTCAAGAATGAATGGCTGCCTCCTAGGCGGACCGGCTATATATAGCGCTGGTCCGGCTGGGAGGCTGCTCTCTCCAATGCTGAACGACGTCGGTGTCTGCCGACCAAAACTGGGGCCTCCGCGTCCAAAAGCCAAACTGGCCTGTCACTTAAACCGGCGCCCAGGGCCCATTGCCCTGTTGCTGGCCTACCTGGGCCTCTAACGGGGGGCCTGGCGCTACTGAACTGTTGCCAGGTTCAGTGGTAGGCCCGGCTACACAGCAATTTCCCAAAAAGATGGCCTGCGATTCTTTCCAAGGGAGTCGAAGAGCCTGCTTCCAGTTGACCTGCGGAAGGCAACGAGAAAAGACAGGATACCTGATCATTCCTAAGAAATATGCGTGCAGGGTGTAACGTTGTCCAGAAGTCCATAGTTTGTGACCCCACCCAGGTCACTGCAAGAGGCTGGTGTCCTTTCGATGAAAGGTAATAGCAGAATAGCAGAAACTACTCAGCGCATTCCATCCAGCATAAGCGTCTGGATAATCCGGAATGTGGCGTGGCATGCCCGAAGGACCTGAGAAATGCTTTGCCTGAGAGTCGGCATGAGATCGCGTGAGAGAGCAGACAAACCCCTGGGCTACGCGTGGTGCAAAGTTGGGGAAGAGGGGGTGGGAAGTGGGAGGAGCCATGTAAGCAGGCGATGGAGATGGGAGGCTCCCTGCATATAAAGCCCAGCAATGGCGAGATGGGATGTGGTCTGTCTTGATAATCGCACAATGGGGAGAAATTTCCACAATTGGATTGCTTTAGTGTCTCTGCCGGTGCAGGCTGCTGCGGAGGTTTCCTTTGTTTGTAGAAGAGAAGCAGAGAGAGTTGAAGAGGCCTATAGTCAAAGGGAGTGACAGTGCAAAAGAAGAGACAGAAGATCTGCACTCCACAGCAGCTGTTGAAGCCATTAGCCAAGAAAGGAGGATTGGGAGATGTGATGCAGGAAAACAAGGGGGTATCGTGCTAGAAGCTGCGGAAGGAGGATATGGGTGGAGGCCTGCAGGGGACGGACGGGGTGGCGGCAGTTTCGCAGGGGTAAGGGACGGGGGAAATGGAATGTGCAGGTGGCCAATAAGAGTTATATTTGCGGGAGGTTTTGCCTGCAGTGCTGTTCGGATAATTTGGCTCCACAAAAATGCAAACACATTGGTTTCATTGAGAGGTGCTCAGTGCCTGCCGTAGAAACATAACTCTTGCCACTTTTGTCTTCCCTTTGATTCTGTCTTTCCAGCCTTAAACCACGAGTCTGTTTGCTCCGATGCAGAGGTTAACCCACCGCGAAACCGCGGGTTGGACCTTCTGCACAGAAAGGCTGCCCTGGCCATACAAAAAGGCACAATTTTGGGCCATCAGTTAAAATTGGAGCGGTAGAGAGAAGACTAGCATGGCCCCTGTGCAAGGATGATGCATGTAAACTGAGAAATGGTCCGAATTCTTCAAGGGGGGAAAAAAAAAAAAGGCACAACTTCATATCTTCACTCATTTGTTTTCTTTGGCAAATGGCAGAAATCCAGATAGGGAAACAGAGGCTCGGACACACCGGTGGTTAAATGGGGTAGGGACTTGGGATTACAGCCCAGACCTGTCCGGTGTCCGTGGCAAGGCCATATCCTACGGCCTCGCTCAAGCCAGACAACTGCAATTGGGCAGATGACAATGCAATAAAAGTAACAAGGGAGACCGATGCGCACAAGACTGATTAGGCTCACCTGCCGAACATCCGCTAGCATTTCATCGTCTTCTGCCACTTCCAAGGATGGAAAGGTCACCGGGTCCCCAACAACAACATCATTTGCTCCTTTTCTTGCCGATGCTGGCGTTCCTTCACAGGCTTTCACTGTTGTTGCAGCACCTCCTTGTTCTCCATCCTCTCCTCCTTCATCTTCATCCATACCTGGCATAAGCACAACATTTATACAGCTCAGAATCTCTTCCCTTCCCTCTTTTTTGTTAGATCACATTCTGTTTCAGGTCTCAACGTTTTCGCTAATCAAGCATTGCATACGAAGGAGGACAAATCGCTTAACGTGTATGATGTTCCAAAGCCCAGCGTCAAGACTTGTATATAGGAAAATTTAGCCGTCCGTTTTGATTGTAAAACTTTACTTACAAGCGGCCTGCTACAAGATTTTGATTCCAAACCTGTACGTGACACAATGGGTGAATTTCCACTTGCCCCTAACATGCATCTCATGACAGAACATATTCCTCATGTCCTCCCCTGAATACGCACACCGCAGGGTCATTATAGCTGCTGTATTTGGCCAAATTTTCAGTCGTGATATGGCTATAATGACCTGCTGTTCTATTCGGGCGAAGACGGTAGGTAGTTAGTTCAGCACCTGCCCGGAAGGACTGCCAAAGAAAACAATGAGAGCCATTATTCTTCACTCGAAGAATTTGAAAATTGCCAAGATGCAACCGCCAATTTATTTTCCCAAATTTCCCACCCACAAACCCGTTCTAGCAGAATCTGCAAAATCACTATTTGTCAGGCCATCCATCTGATTCTTCACTATTTGTCGGGCCATCCATCTGATTCATAAATCATGCATGCATGTCTACGAGCCCCTCTCATTCCACACAGCCTCATACCTATTCATTAATCGGGACAATTTCTCTCAGACTCCATTAAAAAAAAAAAAAAAAACTCCCACCGGGCCACCATCATAAAACTGCACAGCAGGGAGGAGGAGGAGGGGCGGGATGGTTGACCAGACATCGCAATACATCAGAAACATAAAAAATACAACAAGAGAGTACAGGAACAGGAAAGTCAATGCGGGGTAGAAGGCGCAGGGCTAGGTAAGAGGAAGGTAAAGCGAGGGATGGTAAGGCAGCCCCAAACAGGTTAAAACAGATAGCATGATAGCTGGATAAAGGTAGACAAAGCAGGAAGTGACGATACCGTAATCTGTGGAGTTTGATAGGCGGCCTGAGGAATTGCAGAGGAGGCCCCTCCCCGCGCCCCGTCTCTCTGAGAGTCCCCCTGCTGCATGTCTGGGTGCTGCTTGCAAGCCTGCCGGCCAGCAGGGTGGCCCCCAGAGAAAGACCATGGTTTGGGGGGGTGGGCCCCCTTTAGCAGGGGCCCCCTTGATAGACGATCAATGCCACAAGGGTTGGGCTGATCCCCTTTTGTGATCCGATCTCACCCCCTTCTTTGGATGTACAAACATGCTTGCCGGTGAAAAATAGCCGGACTGCTGCCCCCCAGAATAGAAGGGGCTTCGTGTCGGGAGAAAAAACAAAAAATAAAAACTGCACAGCGGACTTACCTCCCACAGGAACCTCTTCTGCAAACTCCTGCAGATCAGCTGCAGCCTCTTGGGCCACCCTCTGCAAAGGACAAATCCATTTGAAGTCAGAAGAGTTCATGCTAAAAGGGAAGGTAAAAAAAAAGAGCAGATCAGAAACATTAAGAAATTGTTTCCTCAGACGATCGACAGAAGTCAATCGACTACGAAGGCAATAATCGTCAGAAAGGTAAGTCCACAGCTCCTGCCCGGGATGGATTCCCAAGTTGAATGGAACAAAACAATCACAAGTCCCAACATAATCACTGAGAAAATCATGCACCATGGTTAACAGACCTCCAGTCTTCAGTGCTGGGTTAACAGCCCGAGTAAACAAATGAAGATTCTGTGTTACTTGCCAGTGAAAGTGGGGGGTTACTTCCCGGGGGGGGGGAGGGGGGGCGCTTACAGACCTGCAAAGCCATGAAGTCCGTCTCATCCTCAGCATTCCTCAGAGCAGCCTGTAAGACCGAAAGGAAACACAAGGCAATAATTATCAGCTGCACTCTAATCTCAAACTGATAAGCCCCACACAAATACATTGTATCTCCCTGGACACGTTCAAGATATCTTGACTTAGCGTTCAAGAGGACAAAACATCAAATACCATGCAAGTTGATATAACTCCAGAAAATTTCATTCTCTCCATGCACACACATAAGGTCATGCAACTCCAAAGCATACATAGCCTCTCCATGCACACAGTGCAGATGTCTTGACTAATCGTTCAAGGTGCCAAAACATTGTAGGGCATGTGATCATAACAGCATCCTGAGAATCTTCTCAAGGAATTCAGGGTTGAGGAGAGGGCTCTTCACACACACACACACACACACGCACACACACACACACACACACACACACACACACACACGCTCTCCAGGCAAACACGGCTGAAGACTTGGCTCAGTTCCCCGACAAACACTGCTAATAGCTTATGCCACAAATTCCACGTCCAGGCCTGTTTCACAATGAAGTCAGCACTGACGAAAGGCCTCGAGGAACACACAAGATTGCAAAGCTTGTGTCAAGCCCCACTTGACATAGTAGGATGGAAGACAGTGCTCACCTCTACTTCGGCAGACGATATCTCCTTGGGGGCAGAATCAGGACCTGCCTTGTCTGTCAGCTGTGGCATTTTCTCACCCATGAAAAGCTCCATAGGATCCAACTTCTTGAAGAATTCGGTATCATATTGTCCCCTCTGCAATTCGCAAGCACAGTCATTGAACAGAACAACCCGCAAGTCCATCATTGCGAAATTTGGAAAATGAATATACTTGCTGCATACAACCTACTGCGTTAGCAAGAAAGGCTGCCAATTCGTTATTACAACCTACTGCGTTAGCATTAACACTCGCTGCAAGAAAGGCTGCCAATGAAGGGAAATACCATTGCAGCCTTTTCTGCAGGACAAACCTTGTCTGGAGTACTCTCTCTCTCTCTCTCTCTCTCTCTCTCTCTCTCTCTCTCTCTCTCTCTCTCTCTCTCTCTCTCTCTCTCTCTCTCTCTCTCTCTNCTATTATTCTCTCTCTCAGACACACGCAGGTACACATACACATACGCGTACACTATCTATGTATATGGTTCGCTCTCCCGACCCCATTCTCGCTACCTGCGTGATCACGTGTTATACGTGCAGAGCTCTCTCTCTCCCCCGTTCTCTCTCTCGCACACACACACACACACACACACACCGCGACCATTCTCTCTCTCTCTCTCTCTCTCTCTCTCTCTCTCTCTCTCTCTCTCTCTCTCTCTCTCTCTCTCTCTCTCTCTCTATCTATCTATCTATCTATCTCCCCCCCACCCCTTCCCCCCCTTTCCCCAGATGTGCAACAGTAAATGTCTTCACACTTGCTGCAAGAAAGGCTGCCTATGAACACAAATACCATCACAGCCTTTCCTGCAGGACAAACCTTTTAACACTTGCTGCAAGAAAGGCTGCCTATGAACACAAATACCATTGCAGCCTTTACTGCAGGACAACCTTGTCTGGAGCTCTCTCTCTCTCTCTCTCTCTCTCTCTCTCTCTCTCTCTGACACACACACACACACACACACCCCCACCCCTTCCCCAGATGTGCAACAGTTCAATGTCGAAAGAACTTTCAAGAGTTTGACCTGCAAGCGGTCGAGTTGCACTTCCAGAGTAGTAGTATGCAGTGTTGGATAAGGTTCCAATTTGTCTTAGAGTCAGATTGAGTAAATTGCCGGCCACGACGGCCAGTATCCACTGTTCCTGTCTGTTGATTGCATTCACTATGCGTAGCATGCGAGATTAACTTAGGACGAGCAGTCAGAGGTTGATTCCAAAACTTGCGACCATTCAAAGTAAATGAAAAATAAAAATGCCATACTGCCTATCGTAAAGGGCAACATCAAAAGAGTCATAAAACAAAATCTCACCTGGATCACGAGGTCATCAAGGACACGCTTCTGATTGGCCTTCTTCAGAATGTTCTCTTCGATAGTGCTCTCGCATACCTACATCAACAGCATACCACCGTCAATAGCTGGATCGTTGAGAGGTGGATCGACATGGCCAACCTTATCGATTAAAATCCTACACCTAAGACCTGCTGCTACCAGACTTCATGAGGGGTTCCATGACTACAAGGCTTTGCCCTTTTCATGCAGTGAGCTTTCCTCTTCTAGTTATTCCTATTGCTTTGTGTTTTCCTGATTTTGTACTTTGTACTTTGGAAATGCTGCATGGGGTCAAAAAATAGACAAGGGGAATACTAGACCCTCGCAAGGGTTTAGGGTTCTACCAGGCGGTCGAGATGAGGCAGAGCAAAATAGCTTAAGAGCCGCGTAAGTTGCATAAGGCTGGAATGTGATAGGTCCAAGGAAAATGAGAGAGAGCGAGATGACAGAATCCAGATAGCACAATCACATCGAAAGCAAGAAAGTCCCACAGTGTCCAGAAAGCAGCATTGCACCAATATTACACCAATGGAGAATGGAAACACTGAAACCGAATGTCAATGAGAGATTACTCTCATCCCCACCAACGTATGTATCCAGGCCCTCTCTCCCTACTTCGCGCTCGGCACCCAGGCTACTCCCTACACAGCTACTTCCTGCCTACGAATTGACAATGCAACTGTTGACGTCAGCAGCCACCAAAGTACTTGAAGATGTCGACCAGTGCAGACCATCGCCAATACCAGGTATGCGCCCTCACATCATCATCCTCATCTCCCCAACTCTCTCCCTGTTCTTGTCTTCCTCCCACGTCTTCTCCCTCATGCACGAAGACCACCACCACCTCCACTGGCTAGGGCTGGCTATGGCGCTGCCCTCAGCAGCGCCCTGCCTTCTTCCAGCGCCCGTGCGCACTGCCTGGCAACTAGCACTAGTGCACAGCGCACAGCCCGCGAGCGCACGCTCAAGCAGCGCTGCCGCATGCACTGCCTAGTGCCCGAATGACTCCACCAGTGGCGAGCTCTTTCCTTTATGGAAAGCGCTAGCCCAGTCTGCTCCCTGGCTGGGCCTCATGTATTTCCAGTAGCTTCCAATCGGGCCAAAGTGTCTGCGCCCAGGCCCATTCAGACAGTGGCCTGGGACCGAATTGGTTGAGCCTGTCCAACCACCCAGGAGTAAACGTGAGGTTCTCCCTGCTTCGCCTGTGCTGCTGGGAGAGCCTAGAAGACTCACAGATTATTTCTGATTCTCACGAGTACGGAGGATGTAACCAACTGGCGCATGGCAACTGTCTGGCCCCCACCAAACTTTGCCAAAATTGACGAACTCAGGCCATATTGAAATTCAGGGGCCCGCCTTCACTTAGGGCGGGGTCATGCTTTCTGAAAGGGCCCTACAGGGGCATGCCAAGGAGCCAACTTGTAACAAGGCCTCTTCGAAGATCCATGCCCACATGGGGTTTACAACAGACTCTGCTTGGGGCCCTCAGCCTGGTCTCATTGCCCTATAAACAGGCATTGGCACATATTTGCAGGCCCGCCTTCACTTAGGGCGGGCACGGCACTTTCAGACACTGCCGAGGGACTAAATCCTCGCACAGGGGTGAGGGGGGGTACATCCTTCGTGGAGACGGGAAGCAATCAATGCCGCCCTCTCGGGGTCCTTTGGCCATAATGAAGGAAAGCGCCGCATGCCACATGTGGTAAACTGAGCCCAAACTGGGTAATGGCCCTGGGTGTGCGAAACGTTTGATGTGTAAAAGGGACACCAGAGGTAGTTCCCCTCCCCACCAATAGACAGGAGCAGCCAGGGACGCCTGCTAGAAGGGGCTGCTCGTACCACCCCCCTAGCTGGCAGGGACTGGTTATTGAAAAAAAAAAAAAAAAAAAAAAGACGAAACAGACATTCTTATGACATGATGCATCTTCCTTCCAGACTTGGTGCACACTTTCTAGTATGGAAGAAACAAATGAAGAAACGAATAAACAAACAAAGTTCATTTGTTTCTTCCATAGAATCATACTCAATGCTGATGAATATGCACCTACATTCGTTGAATGATTGTGTATTTTTTTTACTATTTTACTATGTTTCTACTATTTTATTATTTTCACTTCATTTCTGTACAGAGGACTGAACGAGTGTTTCCGACACCCGCAGAACGGACCCCATTTCGTGTTGGTGTTTTTCCACTATTCTACGTCACTCTCTGGCCAAAAGATAGGCAGCAAAACCCGAACTTCAAACCGGAGCCAAGCATGCAAGATTGCGGGAAGAAATCTGGAAAGGGATCTGGGTAAACGTTCGAGTGTGAAACCAGAGAAAATTCTGCCTGCAATCACTGACCAAACTGTAGAAGATTGGGAAAAATCGGTGAGTGGACAAGGCACTCCCAGGCAACTGTATGGACCTCAGTGCTACTGAAGCTGCTACTGAAGCTTCTGACTCGAGGAAAAACAAAGAGCCGAATTGCAGATATGAAAGGAAACTGACGGATACTTCTGGGAATCCACATGCATAAGATAGCTGAACGACAACATACTGCCACAAATGCTCCTTCGAATGTGCAATGTAGTCTACATAACTTCAGTATGAAAGGACAGGGAGTTTTCGGGAATGCGTTGACATTGAAACAATATGGACAAGACAGCGACTTTTGGGGAATGCATTGTCATTGAAACAACATGGACAAGATAAAGTGGTGCCCCTGTGCAAGGATAACACAAACAAACTTCAAAACAGAAAGGAGAAAAAAGTGGAAAACAGGTGCAAATTGACACACACACAAAGGCACGAGCAGCTTCAATGTGCTCCAGATCGGATGCTAGCGTTACAGATTCACCACCGATGTGAGTCCTTCCATGCACGACATGAGGAAAAAAACTTAAAAAAGGCTCATTCCACATGGATCCATAAACATGGTAATGAATGGTCAATTAACAACTATTTGGCTGGGGCTAACAAGATGGAAGAGTGGTGAACGCAAAGCAACATACCAGCCTGTAGATATGCACTTCCCTCGTCTGGCCGATTCGGTGGCATCTATCCTGAGCTTGCAAATCCATTGCAGGGTTCCAATCACTGTCATAAAAGATCACCTAGAGGAAGAGGAAAGTAGACCAAAACAAACACAGACACACACACAAAAATGGACATATAAAACATCTGAAGACCAAGGAAATCCTAACTTTAGTTGGAGAAATTTTGTACAATTATACTTCCAAAAGCGAGAAATATGTTTTCCTGGTTGACTAGCCATCAAAAAAGAAAGGGCACGACATACATAAGCCGGTTCACTCTCTTTGAAAGAATTTTTCCTTGTTCACTTAAAGTATCCTCCACTCCTCCCAGGACACCCTCTCCCACCTCACCACCCTTCTCCTTCAAGTGAACACTCTTCCAAGCAATGGCGTGGCCCTTACCTCCAGAGCACCGCTATGCTGAGGCCTGGCCGCTATGTTGCTAGCACAAGTGTGTCAGCACCTCCTTCCTGCAAGTGCCCGCTCTAGAATGTACGACCCCTGCTCCAGAATTTTGTCTCGTACGGCAGGGGGTCTGGCTGGGGTCTGAGTTGTACGGTCTGAGCCTGCACACAGGCCTCGTTTTGGGGGCCCGATGGTTGCTGGGGGCCCCCAGGCCGCACACCCTCCAGGGGCGCGCCCTGGAGGCCCACGACCGGCCTAAGGGCCGCAGGTTTCGATTTGAGACAGCATTCATTCATCTATTTATTTATTTATGTACTTGCTGTCAGAGTTGGCCCCGCCAACGGTCCGTGGCCCTCGGTTGGTCAGGTGCCAAGCTGCCGACCGATCGGCGGGGGTCGGCCTGCCACATTTTTGCACAGCGGCCACCCGCACCCCGTACGCCCAGTATGGGGGTTTGTGGCCGGTACCAGGGTGGTCGGCCGATCAGGGCACAGACTGGGAGGCCACCGACCGTCGACACTGCCTTTTCCCCGGTCGGCTCCATTGAAAAGAGTGTGGTTGCCCACACTCTTCTCATTCTCCTGCGGTGGCACTGGAGGCAGCCGTGTTGCCTGGGGAGGTGAGAAGAGTGTGGGCAGTTGTGTTGGGGCAGGGAGACATGGCCAGGATGGGGGAGACGGGGCAGCAGCTTGAAGCTTGATGTCAGCTGAGGTGAGGTGGAGGAGTACACTCACCTGGTTCTCATGTGAAGGGTCTTCAACAATACATAGCCGGCATTCTTCCTCAGCAAGTTTCTTGCGTTGCGGCATTCAAGAAAGGCTGCCGCTTTCTGCCTCCTCTGCTCAGTGTGTGTGAGAGAGAGAGATCGACAGCCGGATAGGGAGAGAAAAGCTTCCACCTTCTTTTTCTTTTTTTTTTTCTTCTTCTTCTTCTTTTAAAAAAATTGTTTGCCTGACCTTTTCCCTAATGATTTATTTCTTCTTCTTCTTCTCTCTCATACATTGTCATCCCCACTTCTTCTTCCATTGCTTCTGAAAAAAACGTTTGCCCTAATTTTTTCTTTCTTCTTCTTCTTCTTCTTCTTCTTCTTCTTCTTCTTCTTCTTCTTCTTCACTCTCATACTTTCTAGTTTGTGAAGTTCGACCTAATTTCTCCTCTTGTTCATCTTCTTTCTTCTTCTTCTTCTTCTTCTTCTTCTTCTTCTTCTTCTTCTTCCTGCCATCACACGTCTGAGAGAGGGAGGTTGACAGACAGAGCGGGTGAGAGAGGGAGAGACACCTTCTTCTTCTTCTTCTACTGCTTCCTCCTCTTCCTCTTCTTCATCATGTACTTCTTCCTCCTCGTCTGTTTCCTCCATGTCTAGGGTGGACTCCGTTTAAGCTGACTTCACAGACGTACGGGGTAGTCAGACTATAATGAAGTGTAACAACTGTTGCTTTTCTGCAATTGCAGCATCGATTGCGTGGACTCGTGTCTTCTTCTTCTTTTTTTATTGTTTTTTTTTCCGTCTTCGATTCTGTGCTGCTATTGATTGAACCGTGTATAAGGCTGTATGAGCCTGTATCAATGTCGACGATCATCTGCCAACAGAATCCCCAAACACCCCTGCCCCCAAACAGCAATGCAAAATGTCGAAACATGCAGTGAAACGTTTGCCTGCTTCAACCCCCTCTGAGCCCTCGAACAGCCCCTCATAACCATGAAACAGGCCCACAAAACATACATTCCCCCCAAAGAGAACTCCTGGCCACCCGTAAACATCCAAACACCCCATGCTCTAAAGCAGGGCAAAGAATTAGGCCATGTATAATCAACAAAACCAACAAGACATATCCAAGCACAAAAAGAGAGAATAGCTCAAGTACGGGCCCGATCTTAGCCGCTCAAATCTGCCAAGACAGAGAGCTAGCAAGACCGGAATGTGTGTTGTTTTAAAAAAAAAACAGATCCTCTCTCTCATTCCCTTCACAAATCATCACAAGCCATCCATAACAAAAAAGTTAAGATAGGCAATATACTAGAAAATGCAAGGTTGTATGGTTTCACGCCAAGTGCCCACACACCCGTCTGCCTCCAAAGCAGCACACTTGCACATATATATATTTCAAACCATAAGGGGATGGAGGGCAGAAGGCGACTTACCTAAGATGGAAGACCACTCCAGCAAGAAGGCACCATGTGTGTATGTGTGTGTGGAGAGAGAGAGAGAGAGAGAGAGAGAGAGAGAGAGAGAGAGAGAGAGAGAGAGAGAGAGAGAGAGAGAGAGAGAGAGAATGAAGTTTATGAAGCCCCTTCTTGTTTCACTAATAAGCTAATGAAAACTGCACAATGCACTATGCCCTTGGAAGACAGTAAGCACATGACTAGCTTGTATCCCACAGGTACATGATATCCAGACAGTACAAGATGCTTGTCTTACCTGCAATTCCAACATGTGCCTTTTTCAGGGCAGGTGCATCATTGACTCCATCTCCTGTCATGCCAACCATCCGATCAGATAGCTGCAGAGCCTGCAGATTTTGCAAAGCCACCAAGCCGAATGCACACACACAGAGAGAGAGAGAGAGAGAGAGAGAGAGAGAGAGAGAGAG